CAGCCAACAGCTTGAGTTCCTGAGCCATCATTTGCCTTTCGCTGCCACTGTGGACAGGTGTTCTGCAGAATCTCACTAGTTGCTGAAACCTGAATAGAGGGCATCGGCTTCTTTTAAGGCGCTCCTCAGGTTGCATGCAAGTGGATTGGTAGCAAGACTTTGCAGGATGTGATGCTTTCAAGTGTTATATGTGCATGTTTGGGGCAGTGCCTTGCTCTGTTCGCAGAGTAGATAGGGGCAACGGCAAGCTAGAAGGGTGGTTTGAGCACGTTTCATTCAAGGGAAGCTGGAATTCCGCACGGTCTTGCCGTGAAGACAAGCAGGATGAGTCCGGATAATGGTTTGGACATCACACGTCTGACAAGACTTTCCTCAATTCGGAGGTGTTTGGACAAGAGCTTTATCGTAGGTTCCCTTTTTGTATGATGGGTTCCCCACTAAAAAGGTCTACCAGGGGCAGTGAGCAACTGGGTTTCTTCGACAGCAGGCCTCAATCAAGCACGGAAAGGTGAAGCCGGTCGACGGTTGAGTTTCAGGCATCACTTCTGAGGAGCGTGGCATCTCCTCATCAGGCCGCACACTTGCGGTAGGTATCATGACTTTTGCACTTCGGCACAAAACAGTTGAAACAGCTACTCTGTTGAGAAACCCCAGCCATCATGCACCTATCCTCAGGGCGTTGGATCTCGAAAGTGGATGAATTCGCTGGCCCAGGAGCATGTGCTGCAGCCACTGAGTGGCATCAGGCCGGGCGCCGCCACTTTGGATCGCTTTCAGGGCTGAACTTGGCGCACTCAGGGGAGTACAAACCCTCATGAGGTATGAAAGACCCTGCACAGTCAAGCAGTTTGCAGCTTGACCAAACAGACGCCTGTCTCTGCCTTTGTCCCCTTTCTGCCTTTTCATAAGAGATTTGTTACCGCGATTTGTTACTTGTCGCGGTTGAATTACATGTTACATATGTTTGGGGCAACCATGATTGCCTACACTCAACAGCCAACATGGATCGAGGTAAACAAAAATCCCGCTGGTTCTATGTGGTGTGCTCAAGGCGGGAGTTTTCCTTTTCCTGCCAGATCATGTTAGGTGAGCCCATAAAGGGGCCCAGGCCTGTTTTCGGGTTGCCCCCCGTCAGGTTGGGTCTTTTCGCAGCTCAGAAGGGGCCTGCAACGGAAGTATCCCCTGAGTTCAGTGACCCCTGTTATAGTCACAGACAACCAATCACATCATGTGAATTCTGTGGACCTGTTTTTAAGACCCCCCAAGCCTCTCCCAACCATCCCCCAACCATCCCCAACCATGCCCATGCCCGAACACTTCCCATCCATCCAGCCCTCTCAGTTGTCGAAAGCCGACCTTTTCACCTTTTGGTTTTCTTATCTTGGTTCCATCCAAAAGGTTAACCTTTTATTTCCAGGTCTCTAAGGGGCGACTGAGCCTTGGATGTCAAGTTGGAGCAGTTAGGCCCTGGGCCTCCTCGACCATGCGCCGGCGGCCGCCTATGCGGCGCTGCTTGGAGCCTGGGAAAGCCGGGGGGCCTAAGGCCGGAGGCACGGACGCCCCGAAGTGGGTAGAAGGCCAGCTGAGCCAGCCAAACACTTTTTTTCAATTGATGGACCGCCTTTTGGAAGTGACAGGGAGACAAAAAGGAAGCCAACTGGGAAACCGCCAAAAAGAAAGGGTATCTCAAAATGCTAGAAAGGCTCACTCCATTAGGCATGAAATCGCGGTCGACAATTTGATTTGCCGGGATTTGGTGTGCGAATCTGGGCCTATGATGCGGTTCAATCTGAATTGCAACCGGAACAATCAGGGTGAGTCTTCCGGGTTTGAAGTCTCCGTCCCAAGATCGGTTTCTTTTACCTTCGGCTTGGGATGGCCAATATATACCTTTCAATGCCGGAAGAGGCAGGTCACGGGCAGAGAAGGCTCGCTTTTTTTGTTCAGCTTAGGAACTTCACAGAACCTAATCATGAATCATGAATGAGCAGATACAACCCTCCACCCAATCCCTTTTATGAAACGGCCAGCTGTGTTGATGCCACCAGTGTCCTTGGTTGAGCTTCCACCTCCTGATACGCGACCCAAGAGCGGCAGCCCCATTCCAGCGCAGGCAGCAACATAACATGCCGGGACAATCGAAACTTTGTTTTTTCTACTCGAGCCATGTCTAGGTCAATGGCCAAAGCTGTTGATTGCATTGGTTGTCATTCAAGTAGTTCAGCAGCCAAACTCCTACTTGGGAAAAGCACAGTCCCTCCCATCCGGAACGCATCCGACAAGAATGCGTGCGAAGACAGACTGCTTTCCTTTGCACATGCCCGTATTGGATTGCGTGTCAAACATGGTTACGTGTCAAACATGGTTACCAATTGCCGTGAAGAGGACTACATGCACCACGTTTGAACTTCACGTCACTTATTGGGGGAGTGGTGCGGCTGAAAATGTGTATACTGAGTTTGTGCGGGAATGTTTTTTTGTTGGGCCAACCGCAGAAAAAGATGCTCACGCAAATGACGACCGACCAAGAGACTTCCTTTACGTACGTGTAATCCAACTTGGCATCAAGTTGGGCCTTCAGCTCATTTGCTTCCGCCTGAGGTGAGCCAAACTCAGCTTTTGGAAGGGGGGTGTTGCCGTCATGGTATATTCCTTCGATACTCGAACCCAAGAAATCTGTCCACTTCAATGCTTGTTGGTAGATTTGGTAGGGTAACCAGTTTTGGTTGCTCAGGTGAATGGCAGAATGCCTTGGCATTGTTGCGCCAGATGCGGGACACACGCCCGGACGCCCGGAGGTGCCCAGGTTGCCCCAGGCAGAAGGGAAACCCGTGCATACAGCCATTTCCAGGGTCGCTGACTTGGGTTCCCTGGCCAGTGGCTCTTTGCTTCAGGTGTGGAGGCCGACGATGCCTGCCTCAGAGCCGCCTGGTGGTCCCAGAAGGACGAGCGCAGGGCCAGTGTGACGGAGTGCACATGCCACAAGAACTGGTGCCGCCTCTGGCATTCACATCTTGGCATGCGTAAGTTTGCTTTGCTTTTGGGGTACCTCATTGGATGTTCTCTATTTGGTGACAACCTGTTATTGTTCAACCACAATGCTGTTGTGTGTTTGAGCTGCCGCATTAACATTAACACCCAACCCAGCATGTCAAGCTTGATCCATTGGATCCGGCAGGCCGCAAGAAAGCCCATAGCTTTTGCATTCCAGACTAGCCGGGTAAGCCCGGTATCAAGCCTTGCTTGGAGAGGAACACCCCATTCAGCACATCAACCAGATTTGATAGCTTCTTCTGCAGCAAAAGTCTGGAATAGTGTCTGAAGTGGCTAAGCAGCGCACCTGAGTGCGTGAAGGCACAAGACTAGCCATTGTCAATTCTTGTACAGGCCTCCCAGTTCAGATTGTGTGTGTGTGAGAGTTGCAAGCCCTTGTTTATTTGCTACGACAGCATCATTCGCTGCCTGTACTGACTGGCACAAGGAAGACTCTGCAAGTTTGAAACAGTCTTGGCACCTGCAATTCTAACGACGTCACCAGCTCGGAGGGTCAACCACGACAGTTTAGGCACATGCCTGCAGACACATGTAGATGCACACTCACAACTCTATAAACGTAGATGTACTGTTCTCAATGCAGTTGCAGGCACCATTTTCTGGATCTTGGGGTCTTTGCTCTGGGCGTTCCGACGCTGAGGCCATGGGCGTCTGCCACACGGCCGGGCGCTGGGAGCGGTCGCTGGAGCTAATGAAGCAGATGCAGCAGGAAGGACCGAAAGCGTCAAACCACCGGCCATTGAGCATCGTTGTCTTGCTCCCCAAATGAACCTGGAACCCAAAATAGGGCCACACAAGCAGGACTCCAGGACCAATTGTGGTTTTGGAAGCTTCATGTTTGCACACGCGTATCTCCTGACTTGGAGGAAGCTGGGAAAATATTTGTGCTGGTATGCTGTGTTGTCGTGTGTTCGCCCGCGATGAACGGGGGCTCCTTGATGTGGTATCCTTGGAAAGTTACCATGCACAGGCAGAACCATTCGCAATCACATGCCCTTGGCGAGCAAGGCTTTTGTGTGACCTGTGAGTCTGATTTTAAGTGGTATCATTTGCAGTTGAAACTCCAATTGCGTGTCCAAACGGTCTCAAGGAGCATCACTCTTTGTGCCCTAGCTCACCCGCCAAGTAACATGGCTCTACTCCAAAAGGGCCGGTTGGTGCTTTGAATCCGCAGAACTCTGTGCTGCTGCTACGCATTTGCTAGTTACCCTTTCCTCGAACCTCTTCAATGCTTTTGAGAGGATTGGCGCTGGCAATCCTGACCTGCAACTTTGCGATGACGGCCTGCGCCGGCCACCCGGAGGAGATGTTAAGTAACAAAGTTATCGGGCCATTGTCTGACCAGTGGATGCCCGTCCCTTTTTGGAATCGGGGGCGGTAGTAAGTGGTGACCCCTGGAATTCCATTCACAGTTCCATTGTGGAAAGAACTCCAAAATGGATTTGGTGGACCTCCGACTCCTTCCCGCCCGCTGAAGGTATAGGGGCCATGTTGTTACTTTGCAATTTACCAGCAAGACAAGATTGCCCTTTTCACCCATGGAAGGCTGACGGGCATGTCCACGCATATGCACCGTTTGAGCGGTCAACTCTGAAAGTTGGGCGGGCCGTATTTGTGTTGCAGGCATGAGGGCGTCTTGAGGTTCAATTGCCGCTTGTCATTTGCACACCCTTTGCATGATTCAAAGTCAACTTACAACCACAGCCGTTGCTGGGTGCTGTGCTTGCATTTTCCTTGCCGCTATCTGTTGGACACGTACCTCAATTATTGTCCAATCCCGTGGCATGGAACCGGACAGAGGTTCTGAAGCTTTCTGAAGGCCTGCTTCTTCAAACATGGCTTTCCACAGGTTTAGCAGCCGCAAATATGTTCCGAATCGACTGCGTTCCCTCCAGATATGATTGGGATTGCCTCAACCCTCCAACCTCCATAGGTCAATGACCCCC